GTCGCGGTTATTCTCAAATAAATCTCCAACAAAATTCAAATAATCTCTCCACAAATCTCTCCACAATCTCTTAATTATGTTAAATTTTAACCGCCTTAAAAGCTTTATCCTACTTGAACTTTAGCCACTCCATCATAACCCATTCAACCTAAAACCCAAGCTAACTATAGTCTCAACTCAGTCCATCCCTGAAAATGTAGCCCAATTAATCCTAAAAAAGGCACACACGTAGCCTCTCTTTTTAGTTTATTTTGGATGTAAACAACTAGTTTGGTAATTTAAATATTATCTGGACTACTAATTTAATACGAATTTCGTGGGGCGGACTCAAACTGTGGGAGGAAAAAAACAAAGCAGGGAAGCACCCTGTCTCCACACCTGGGGTTAACTGTCTAGTATGGATATGATATCTGGTTTTTAGTTTTAAAAAATTTTATAACGGTTAAAAATCAAATAAACTAAAAATTATAAATCAATAACTTGTTTATAAGAAATTTTAATATTCACAATTAAAAGTTTAAAACTATAAATTGTTTAGTATTAATAATAATAATAATACGTTGAAAATGTCTCATGAATTTAAAGCTATAAAATTTATAAAGACCAAAATTAAAATCTAACACAACCATACCAAATATAACATAAAGCATTAAAGAAAAAGTAAACTAGAGAATTTCAAAATGCGATTGTAATGTTCTCAAGACCAACATCTGTATAATCGGGGCAAAATTTTATAAAGCAAGGGAGCGTCTCCGCCATCTTGCCACAAGTATAATATATCTTATAATATCAACCGGAACAGTATGTGATAAATAAATGTTCCTAACCTAGTGCTCGAACTAATACAATGGATATCACATTGATTATTACTTCATACTGTTTGTTTGTCCAACAAGTAGATCGGTACATCATTGCTATAGGCTTGTATTTTGATAATCAAGCTCAATCCGGGTGCTCTCCGACTGCATCTCTCCAACAATCACTAAATTTATCAGCCGCAGGATCCTTCAATTATAAATGTAATGGATTCTTGGTTTTCATAATTTTCTTGCACGATGCATGGAGGGTAGGTTCCTAACCTTTGCAATCAAAAAGAGAAACCCAGCAGATCCAATCAAGTTTCTTTCAATAAGAAACCTCCTGAAAATTGAGAAAAAAAGAAATCAAGGGAACCTGATGGGTACCCCCTAAAATGTATGCATGATTATCAAGACTGGGGCAGGTAGGTGCTTATACATTTACTTGTCCACTTCTTTGGGAATAATAGGCTCTCCCCGATAAACCTGCTGCATTTCTTCTCGCCAGATCTGCAAAATGGTAACAGTTGGGTCCTTAATAGTCACCACGGTTCTATCTTTTCCAAAATTAATAAAAACAGGATTAAGAAGAGTCAGTGGTTCCGGAAACTTGGATGGTGGCTCTTCCCATCCAAGGGGGATAGTTGTGCAGTCCAGCATAATCCAAATTTGCATAGATATTTTTGTACAGAGACTTTTACGAGATTAGAAGTTAACATAGGCAGAAAAGGGACTAACAAAAAAATTTGGAATTGAGGAAGAGGAAAATGGGGGCAAGAACTTTTATCTTCCCAGCAGTTGTCATAAGCATCACACAACAGATTAAAAAAAGAAGAAGAAGAAGAAGAAGAAAGACTGTAGACAACCCCATACCGTGTCGCGGAATTCCAGCCGGATATGAGGCACATTTGTTTTGTGTATGTCATTTCCATCAGGTCCTCTCTTGTAGTACTCTTTCCCAATCCAGTGAGACTGAAACAGGTAATGCATAAGCTTGTATCAATGAACTAGCTACGCAACATATGAACCATGAGAACTGTGTATTTATTTATGTATTATCTTCATCTTTTTAACAGGGGGAAGGTTCCATAACAGATAATTTGTGTAAAGGGAGGCAGTGGTAAATAACTCTCCTCCCAAATTATCAGCATGCCTTAATCAAGTTCGAACAAGCACATATACCTTTAAAGCATGTGAGAAGCCTGACTGGTAGACTGAATTGCGGGCAATCTCACATAGATCACATGCACTCAACTTCCAGACCTGTGAGGGAAGACTTCAATATACTTGATTGTTAACAAGATGTATTGATTCTTGATGACAGAAAGAGCTTACAGAGGCAGCTATGCTATATTCTTCCACCAGAGGTTCTTTCGTTAAGTGGATTTGAAGGGGATCATCCGTAGAAAGAGAAACATTAAGTCCACGCAGGAAAAACACTGGAAATGGGTTCCGATGATAGTCCAAAAATAAGGAATTGTTGCTCAAAGGAGACATAGCCAGACCAATCTGACAACCAAAATACCACAAATCATTGTTAATGGTTAGAAATTGTGAGTAACCAGGTCAGAAAATCAACTAAATAGGACTATTTTCATACCTGTGCCAAGTAATACAAATATTGGAGTACAGGAGATTTTTTCAAATTAATTCCATGTGCAATATTATGAGCTGTTAGAAATGTTGCTGCAAGGTGATCAATGTCGCCAGCCTGAGAATATTAGACATGCAAGGGATAAATACAAACTAATGCTTGAGCAAGAATACAAATAAGTTCAAATAAATTTCAATGAAAACCTCTCCAGAGTGCGGCCGAAATTTGATGGTTGTCATGCCCTTCAACTCACGAAGCTGAAGAAGACAGATAAGCATTTATTTACCAAAATCAAAGTGGTTACACAATGCCATTTGAACTTTTCAAGATCATTGTAGATAGGTCAGCATTGAATGTATTTAGGAAAGCATTATTTAAGTTGTAAAAAATCCACAAGCCAAGTTAGAAAGAAAACAATTACTGGGCAATTATTTATAAGCATCTATTGTGTTTTTCCCTGTTTATGCCAAGTGTACAAGTAAATGCCCTTATAGAGGTGTTTGGCTATATATGCATTTTACTTGCTCTTCTCTCTTCAAAAAAATTTTGAGAGAGAGAAAGAGAGAGAGAGAGAGAGAGAGGGAAGAAATTCCAGTCTATGGATTTTAATAAGTCCACTTAAATAAGAAATCTAATTAATTAATTTGTCTGATATGGATGATTCCGAATCAGAGAAGGACTAACAGTAGAAAACCGGGATCTCAATAAGCAACCAGAAACTAAAATGCATCTATGGTATCAAAATCTTTGCAAATCAAGAGAACATACCTTGTTCAATATGTAGAGGTTAGCATAGCAGTAATAGACATAATATGAATATGCAGGGTTAAACACATTGGTCCATTGTGCCGGTGTGGGCATGTGTTTTGTTGGGCGTCTTTCAGGCTTGCTTTCATCATCCACCAAATCCAATCCAACAACCTGAATAAAGCCAAATACAAGGTGCAAATGTCACCATAACAATCACAAGATTTAACCCTGAAATTTTGAAGACAGATTCATGGAAACAATGGCAAACAAATGGAGGAATAAGATAAAGACAACAAATAGAAAAACTAGAAGATTTAAAGGAAAAAAAGGAAAAAATGGAAAAAATGGAAAAAAAGGACCTGCTTCAGAAAAACATGCAAATGAGGATGTGAATCTGGATCCACGGTAACCTCAAACAGAGGAATAAAGATATTGTCAAGCATGTTCTGGAAGGATGTCACAATCCCCATTTCCTTGTATACATTATACAGTCGAGGTATCTGTGAAACAGAGAATATTAAATTAGCACAAAAGGCAGCCCTTAAATATAGATAGACAAGTCACAACAGAGGAATGGATGGTATAACAAGTCCAAATTCCAAAGAATATCATCATCATTGTTTAGTATCAGAACCTCATCGTTAACAAAATGTGCAAGTGTGCATCAGAGAGGACACTCAAAGTAAGGATTTTTTGGGATTTCAGAGGTTATCTGCACTGCACCTGAATTAACCAAACAACATTCTCGCTGTACAATTCATTATTCACTATCCAAGAAGCTAGTTGGTCCCACTCACTTTGCTTCCTACCGTACATTGATAATCTGTATTCAGCCATCTGCATCAATCAAATTGAGAATCAGATAAGATACATTGAGAGAACATTTTTGCCCTTTAGCATTTCCCAACCCCCCCCCCCCCCCCCCTTTTTTTTTTTGTTTATGTATTGAAAGAGATGTGGCATCTGAATTGTAATTAAAAAGAAAAAAGAATTTAAAAACTTTAAGCAAACTAGTAATCTACATATAATGACAACTTGCATTACAAAAGTGGATTTACAACAAGCACAAAATTCTCCAATTTGGTTTTGGTGATCAAATAAATCTTTACAATGTCAAAAATTGAAAAGAAAAATATTATGGAAATTTGTTCAAGAATCCACTGATTGATTCGTATACAGTTCCTAGAGAGCTCTGGTCAGATTCTATTTCAGAAGAGAATCTAAATGGCATTAATGGATAAACCCTCCATCTGCAACCCTTGTCCACTAGAAAAGCAAAATAAATCAATAATCAGGGATTAGGAACTAGTTTTTTCTAATTGTTATTTGGCTCATCACCTATTACGAAAGGTAAACACAAATCAATGTCCAAAAGTTTAAATCTTATGGATTAAAATATATCTCTAAACAGAATAAGGAAACACCTGATATTTACTGCCAGCAAGATCATTAAAAACTTGCTTTGTGAGTTCAGCAAGAAAACGACCTGTTCAGCAACAAAAGATCACAATTTCAATGTGAATGTTACAATTGAAGAAAATTTCAATGTAAATGATACAATTGAGGAAAGAACTTTTTGGATCAATCAAATGAAAACATATTATAACCCAAAACAATACATTTAATTGACAGAAACAAACAGAGAAGAATTTTAAAACTATAAATGCCTTGTAATAAGATGAATACTTTGAAATTGTAAACCCTAAAACAGTTTCTATCTTTCATACCAGACAAGGAAACACTTAAATGTACCTTGGATAAGATTGTCCTGCTTTAGGAAAATCTCCCTTAGCCTACTTTGACCACAAGGGTTATACTTGAGATTGAACTTATCAAAGCGATGAAAGGTGCTCTTGTCTGCATGAACATCCAGAAGGTCAACATTCAAGTCATTCCTGTTCAATAAAAACGAAGACAAAATTATAATATGGATTTTATCTGTAAAAATAAATTGTTCAGAAAATTAGCATCAAGAATGAGTGAATGATATTCTTTTGTTTTGTGTTCTTGAGTGCAATGAAGAAAAACCTTACCCAGTCAAATCCAAGCTCTCAAAAACTTCTTTGAGTGTCAAATAAGTTCCATCTCGAAATATAACAACCTGAACAAAGTAGGAATTCATATAAAGACAACAAATCTAGCACAAATATTATTTTGAAAAAGCTACTTTTCCACTCTCCTCACCCTCAACAATGAGTAGTTAGTATCAAAAATAAAAGTATTAAACTGCCATCCAAAAAAATAAAAAATAAAAAAAAAACAACAAAAGAAAAATTACCTCATCAGGCTCCTTTCCCAACTTTGACTTTATAAACCTTAAAAGATGTTTCTGGTTCATACATGCAGAGTGATGAACATGAGTATCAACTTTCCTGACATTATAGAAGTCTCGATGCGGTGCACTTTTCTGAGCAAGAAATTCTCTATCCGAATTGAGCATCAAATGGAGATTGAATTTCTGAATGGCATTCACATGAGCATGATTTAATAACAAAATTACAAAGTAATATCGACTTAAAAATAATCATAAGTGAAGGAGGTTTAGTATCTACTTGTTCAAGAAGATTTAGCCGATGATGACACAAAGTTCTCATATTCCCTAATGCAATAATCCGAAGTATATGATGCAAATCAGTGAAAAAGGTTGTTGCATCAGCAACAGGAAAAAGCTCTTCTTTTGCTGAAATAAAACAAAGATGAAAAGAAGGTAAGTAAACTTGAAAAAAGTTCAAATCATGACAAACAAGAAAGTCAAGTTTTAAGTCTCTTGATGCTTACATTCTTTGCTTGGATAGACATGAATAACACCATCTTTCATCTCAAAATAATGCTGTAAAAGAGATTTTTACAAAAAAGTGTACATTGGTAGGCATGAGAAAAACAAGGTAACTTTTGACACAGAAACTACAAAAGCAGGTACAAACTTACATCAGATTTTCCCTCAGGAGCATAAAAAAATGGTGCAGGATTAGGCCTTGGTGTACTGGGGTCTGAAATAACTTCTTTTTCCCATGGAGCAACTGCCTCTCTGAATACATATCTTTTTCGCATCTCAAGACATTCTTGCAAAAGCGCATAGGCCTCAACTTCATCTGGTGAAGGCACCTCTGGTAAAAGCCACAGATATCAAATTTTTTTTCAAAATTCATTGAATCAATGGTCAATATCAGGTTCTTTTAAAGACTAGAATGTTTAGAAGTTGTAGATTTTTTTATTTTTTTTTACTTCCTTTTATTTTATATAATTTACTACTACTAGTAAGAACTTTTGTTCATTTTGACAACTTCATATTTATAGATCAGGACATAAGTGATTTTTGAAAGTAGTTAGCAAAGCAAAGCCGACAAAAAAAATTTCTCCTCAACACACATACATTCATGTAAATCATAAAGAACTTAAATACCAGTAGGAGTAATTTGTAGCCGTGCGAATATTTCCTGCTCAGGCTCTTTCCTTAGGATATCAGCTGCAATAGGATCAGGCTGAACACCATGCAGGTCACCAGATATACTATGGGATCGAATCATGTTTGAAGCAGCTACAGGTAACTGTTCTCCATTGGCATTAATGTTGTCTGGCAAATTTGGACCCTAAACATGTAATGCTGAAGTATAAATCAATAATTTCATTGAACTTTTTTAATTACAAAGCATCTTTGTGCTAAAAAGAATTCTCCATTATATGCAAAGTCTATTAGAAAATGAAAACACACACAGAGAAAGAGAAACAGAGAGAGGGATTGAGGGAGAGAGAACCAATCAAGTCAGGAGGAAAAAAAAAATGCAGCCATAACTTAAAATAAACTCACAGCATTTCCATTAACATGCAGATATGAACTATCTAGCTTAGAATTGTCTGTTATATTATCTTCCTCATCTGATTCTTCTCTGCTCTCAAAGGCGCTAGCACTAGCAACAGGCGACTTGGGAGAGGTTGGGTGGATAAGGCTTCCAACTCTCTTAGTTGAACCATGCCCGCCAGACTTTCCTGAAGCCAAAATGTCACTTAACTTAATCATCTAAAAAAGGAAGCATCAAAAGAGAAAAAGTGATGGGTAAAAGCAAACATAAATTAGTGAGATGTTAACTACAAGTCAATCTTATTCTTGTCAAGTTGCAGATGAAAGAATATTTTTCTCATCAATCACAATTTTGCTCAAAGTTGTAAAGAGATAAGTACAATCAACATGCATATATACACTTATCAAAAGGAAAAAAAAAAAAATGAAGCTTGTTCATGTATATGGGGACTAAGAACCCTCTTTTCTTTTGATCCTTCAGTTGATAGTACCGTGAACTGATTTTCAAAATATCATCACAAGCTACCGTACTTTAAGTTTCACTAATTCAGCTTTACATTTAGGGTCTCTAGAAAGTAGGCTGATCAGCTACTTACTTTGAAAAGGATACAATTGCTTTAACTATAAACACTACTTCATACAGTGTGCTTTTTGTTTGAAATTAACTTGTATCTTCCCTTTTTCTCATTTAACATTTGGAGAATCATGGATTTCTATATGTTCCTGGGATGAATCTCGTCCAAACCATAAGCTCCAATTATTTGGCAATAAGTCCATTTTCTTTCCGAGAAGAATCAAATACAATATTCAAACAAACAAGAAGTTTAATGGTACTTCTTCTTTTTTTCTTTCGTTATTCCTTTCAGCAGGCTGCAGGACAACTCTACACTTAGGCAGTTTTTACTGTGATTGCACAATAAAGGAAAAGCACGGTCACAACACTGCACAACAATCCCAATTCCACCATAAGCTAAATATAACTCCGATTCACATTACTGTAGCATTTAGAAGTATACTGTAACTAACTTAGCCTAGTTCTAGTTGCAATGAACTACTGATTAATTTGGATAGTCCTTCCCAAATTCATTCCTCCAACTTGAACCTAATTACACAACACTTCTGCCATGAAATAACCAAAACCTCTGATTCAGGGCCCGAGATTACCTTCACGCAGGGTATGAAGCCTTGGCAACCCGGCCGGAATCCCGTCCACATGAACCGGACCATTGCGCTTCTCCTCTCCGTCAGCTCCACCGGAAATCGAAGTAACATCCGGCAGAGAAGCCGAGTATCGCCGATTATAGCCGTTCCCCTTCCGGCGAGCGTGGTGACCACGGCGTCGCTTGGAGTGCTGCGGCGACTCGCCCTCGAAATTCTCCTCCCACTCCCTCTCCCTCTCCCTCTCCCTCTCCACTGTCTTGGCAAATTCCAGCAGCTGATTTAGGGTTTTCCTGTGCATATAATAGGCCGACACGGCCACAAAGGAAGCACCTACGAGAGCCGCCATCGCCAGATGCAGAGCGTACGTATCCATCGTCGGAACTCTCCTCCCAACGAAACCAGATGAAGCCGCAAAGAAGCTGTTTGTTGCTTTCGGCGTGATCCAGAAAGAAGGAAAACCCTACTGAACTGAGAAGTTTAGCAAATGCAGAAAACAAGAGCCGCTCCGTTTTGTTCGGGACAAGCTGACCTTCTTCCTGTATTTATAGGAAAATCACCTACGACTACGAGCACATATCCGCAGCTTCGGTCGCTCCCTAATTTTTTTATATTATATATTTTTTATCATATATTACGGTATTTATTTATTTATTTATTTATTTTTGTTTGTGAGTGACTCCTTTCGCCTTCTACTTTCTCGGATAACTTTTCCTTTTTGGCAGGAGAAAAAAAGGGAGAATGCTTTAGTGGTGGTAAAAATGGATATTTTCTTTCCATAGAAATTCATTTGGAATCAGAATCTACAGATTAAAGGCTGAAATAAAAATCTAATCAGAAAATTGAACTGCAGAGCTGCCCATTTTATAACCATGCTCCCTTCATTTTTCTTTTTCTTTTTCTTTTGCACTATGGATGATGGTAAATTATAAAATGAAGAATAGTGTTCCTTTTTAACCTCTCTTCATTTATTAAGTTTAAAACTTGTAATAAAAGAATTTTAAAACTCTTAATCTAGCACTCTATTTGAATTGAGGAAGTTAAAAGGAAAAAAGAGAAAAGTGAGCAAGGGAGAACATGTTTGGATAAATAATTTTAATGAAAGGAAGGAAAATGGAAGAAGACAGGAGACAAGTCCCTCCCTCTTTTGTTTTCAATCTCTCCAATTTGAAGAGATTAGAATGGATTATATTATTTAATTTATTTTTTTTAATTTTTTAAAATAAATATATATGAATATTTTATTTTAACTATTTATTTAATTAATAAATTTTAAAAATTTTATTTTTGTTTATTTTATTTTTATTAAATTATTTAATTAATAAAAATATTATTCTTTCATCTCTTTCACTTTTATTTATTTTAACAAAACTGATATCAATATTTTCTTTCCTTTCACTTCTCCTCTCTTTCTTTTTCCTCCCCTCCCTTTTCCTTTCCTTTACAAATTTTAAATAATTTAAAAATTTTTATTCTATTTTATTTTATTTTTCTTTAAATTATTCATTAAATAAAAATATTATCATTCCCTCTCATTTACCTTTTTCTATTTAAATAAAGTTAATATCAATTCTTTTCTTCTCTTCACTTTTCCTTCCTCCGCTTCCTTCCTTTTCATTTACTAATTTTTATCCAAACAAAATCTTAATTATTGAAATGTGTTATAAAGAGATATCCCTCTATCTTAAGTTCGTGTTTAACAATATCTTAATCTACTTCAACATCTTAGAAGGACCATTTGAAATTTATGATTATTAATATTGAGAGATGATTATCCAATTAAAAATACAAGAGATTTAAAAGCACACTGTCCACCATTCAAATTCAATCAATCGAGACACATATTAGATATGAATAATTAAGTAGTAAATAAATAAACGGGATGGGACCTTTGTCGGGTAAAGGGGCGGTGGGGTATCACCGGAGGGAGGTGAGGAGGCGATGGATTGAGTGAGTGGGAGCCATCGCTTTCATTATCCAAAACGGGTAGTGGTTGTATGTAGTATGTGCCAAGCAGCTGCGACCAACAAAAATAATTGCCTTGTTTTGGCAGAATATACTTGGATGAAAAGTGAAAAGAACTACAGAACCTTATTAGCGACTTGGCGTGGAATTCCCGCATAAAAAATGGACATATTTTTTACGTAGCTGTTTTGATTATTTATCTTTGTAGATTTTTCTTTTTTTGTAGGAAAATAAAAGAGGGGTGCAATAGGAAGATTTTTCAGGAGGTTCCTCATCTTAATACTACTCTCATCCAAACACATTTAATTGTAGTTTTTTTATGGGATCTAATACATTAATATTGATATCCATTTATCTTGTAGATGGTGGTGGTACGTAAAACATAGAGGAGTGCTGGTTCAGTATGAAGTCTTAAATTCTACCTCAAAGCACTAATGTTGCCCTACATATACCTGATACCTCTAATAATTCCCTTATTTTTAAAAATGAAAAAACCTAAAAGAGTGATTGATTGTTTGTAAAAAGGTTAAATAGTTTATAAACTAAATCAGAAATGTGAATTTAGTACAATAACATGTGAAAAAACTAAAGTCGGAGAAAATCTCATTGCATCCTGCAAGCATGCCACGAGATTTGAAAACTAAACTTCTGCATTTACCTTGCATTGTAAATTATTTCTTTTCGATTTATTTAACAATTATTTTTTTAAATCTATCACTATCACTTAACAATTAGTTTGATTTTAACATATATAATTTAGAAAATGGTACGAGTTTGGCTGACATTGCATGTAACGTTGGTTGTTGTCAGACTAACCATTCAGAAACATGAGTTACGCCGATGAAAGTTACTTACTTATATGTGTAAATATGTTAATGAATCCACCTGGCTGAAAGTCTGTTTCTCTAATAGTGGGGGACTTCATTTAGAGGAAAAGCTGCATAGGTTTGCTGGTGGCATGACTCATGAGATATGCAGAGAATATGCTCTATGCGCTGGTATGCAATACGCATTGTGCTTATGGTGGGGAACGAATATAGACACCTAAAAATATTATATTTATAATATCATGTAGTATCATAAATTTATAATATAATATATTTTATATAATTAATTTTTTATTTAGATATTTATTCGTGATATGATATATATATTTAATATTAAATAAAATTATAAATTTACAGTTTTATATAGGTTAAATCCTCATTTTGGTCCCTGAACTATTGTACGGACCCCCA